ATTAGAGTCATGTGCTACAGATGACTGTCACAATTATAAATTCACTATCATTGCTACTACCTTGGTACCTTACAAAAATACTCATATTTAGTTTCAATAAGGAAAAGTTTTGACATTTAATGTATTACTGAATAACAAGGTTTTGACCAAAGTGACAAAGCATATAAGACCTCATCACCGCGACAAAATTTAAATCGAAATTTCTCTCTTTCTATTATTCCCAATTTTTACATTGAGAGCAAAAATATGATTCTCTGTAGAACATGGCTCTTATTACCTTATTTTATATACAATCGTATATAGGTATATACATATATAGTAGAAAATTCAAACTTAAAAGTATTAAAACTGATTATCACATTATGTAATAATTTGATTTGAAAAACGAGTCCTATTGATTCAAACACAACTGCAAAATTGTAAATATATTTTAACAGCCAAAAATATATACAACTCTAAGCTCCTTTTTCTATTGGTTGTACGTGAATTCAATATTAGTTTTCGATTATTAGGATGCGATTACATTGTGTGCGAATTTATTCTAGCGTGTTCGTACGAGCAAATCATATGTATGTATTATAATCGTATGTGAGTGGTTTGTATTAAGAGAGTAGACGTGAAAATTGCCCAACAGCCGGTACTGCGGCCAGAAAAGACCTATTGTACCAGTTTCACTATTGATTAAACAAAGCCCCTTAAAGCTTTGTGAATAAAGTCTAGAACTAAATCTAGAGAAGAGTTCTTAATCTGATCTGGTGACAGAAATTCTTTATGAAACAGGTTTCTTCTGTGCGTTATGAAAGCTCAAAGTCACAAAGAATGTGCATGGTCGTTTCCTCATCTTCGAGGCATTATCTGCATTCCGAGTTAGCAGATAATTGTAGTTTATGAAGGTGATATTTCAGACCATAATGACTTGTAATGAAACCTGTTATCAACCTTAAATTACATTTTGAGAACTTAAGAATGTCTTTGTAGGAGTACGGTGTTATCAGTGCTTTGCTTTGTCTGAGTCCTGGAAACTTTACCCAGTACTCCAGCCGCACATGATTTTCCATTTCCTTAATAATCTGTTTTGTACTGGCCCAGTTTATTCCACAAAAGGGTTGAGGGCCTATAAAAGCAGTTTTTGATGCAGATGTGAGTGGTTACAGTTGGTGATAACTATTCGCGCGACGTCTTGTCTTTCTTAAGCGAATATTTGATTAAACAGAGTATTTTGTTTCAAATTCAAGCGTTCGTGCAAAATCGAAGATGTAAATAGTGAAATTGAAAGGTGTGCATTGTTATCACGTAATTTTCAATTTATAAACAGAAAAAAATTTGAAAACATGTACTACTTTTAGGAAATGAATTTTGCGATTTGCTAATTTCTTTGTTTAAGGAATAGACAAACTCTCCATTTTCATACTTTGAAGAATAAAAATCATGCACCCTAATTCATCTTTTGTTATTTGAAATTAATAAATAACTTGATTAACTATATATTTTGTTTTCCAAACAAACATAACAGAACTGTCAATTCGCAAGCAATGTAACTGCAACATGCGATATGTTCACATAAGAAAACATACGTACGAACACGCAAGACAAAATTCGCATGTAATGCGACCGCAGCCTTAGGTCAAAATCAGTCAAAACATCGACTAACAATAATAAAAAAAAAAATTTCAAATAATCAGATCATCAGATCATCAGAAATCAGTTTAATACGAATAAAATCGGTTTTTATATCAAAGAAGCGGATAAAGATTCTATAGTTTTCTAGAGGTGACTGCAGCAGCTTTCTTCAATAAAAAAATTTTTCCATTTTTTTTGTAAAACCGATGTGGAGTGATGAAATTAATAAATTGAAAACAATTAATAATGAAATTACGGAACTTAAATCATGCACTTCAATTGTAGATATACAAAATGAATTTGATTCCAAAGCGATATTTGTGTCGAATATGGATTATAATGACCAGCCGCTAATTTAGAACTTCACTTCCGTTCATGTGGAACTATGAAGAGAGTGACAATTTTAAGCAATTTAACAATAAATTGGTCACCCAAGTGATTGTGCACTCATCGTGTTTGCTAAAAAAAGGTCCACAAAAAAGCAATGACATTTCATGGAAAGTACTTTCATGGACAAAAAAAAACAAAGCAACAATCATGGGTTCTTCCACGATGGTACCTTGAGTGGCGGTGGCTATTGGAGATATGCTCGTGACGAAGAATCTAAGAGTAAACATTATTGTGGATACGATCGCCGTAAATTTTCTGCACCATATTAGAATATAGTATAATCACTACAATGAATTGTGGGTTTTAAAAAGAAAATAGTATATAAAGCAATATTGTGCATTGCCAAAAATATGGATATCTAAGAACATACCCTTACTAAAGTAACCGATTAACTACATTTTAATTTAACAGCCAATATGAGTGGCTATGGATTAATGGAAATTCGTACAGCACTTACAAAAAATTATAAAATTTTACTTAAAATCTAAATTGGCAATAACATATTTGCTGTGTGTCAGATTGGCATACAAGATGTGGTGCATATTATTAACATTTTTATTTATTTCAATTCTTCAATAATTAATCTTCTGTTAAACACACTTAAAACACTTTTCCTAAATTTGTACAGGTTATTAGTAGTGCCACCAATTAATAAGACTTTAACTTGTTCTTCGGATAGAAGTGCTTCATCAAAAAAAAACGTCTATGATCTCTGAAAATCGGACATACTCCAATAATGCCGCCTGCTGTGAAGGGGTTACAATATTCCCGAGGTAAGGCTTGCCTGTCGTAAGAGGTGACTAAAATCCTGCTGACACGCCGACACTTGTGCTTGCGACAGTCGACCGCAGCTTCGGCTGGGCTGACCAGTTGCGGATGAACTCGTAGTGGCTATGGTTAATACCCAAACATACGCAGGAAGAATGTTCAGGTTGCATATTCACCACCGGGTGCTGTAACCCAAAGATCAGCTAAGGTATTAGTAGGCCTGGCATCGTACCATTGACGTCTTGTATCACAACATGTATTTTTGAACACCGTAGTGTTAGGCCAATATGGCATAGAATGCTATGTTAAATAACATAGAGACAGCACGCTCCAATAATATGAGATATATTTTTTTTGTGTTTCATGCAATATTTTGTATGTAATAAGAATCAGTGCAACAAAATTTACTTAATATATTAAATACCCCACTGCATGTATCTACATCATAAAAATACGTATTGGGCATTCACGTTTATTAGCTAAATTATCAACAAAAATTCAGATATAAATATGAGCAGTATTCTCCAATGATAATACGTCCCAAATATTTTTTAACCTCTATCAAATGTTACGGTAGCACTTAACGATATAATTGCAAACCAAATATTTCAATTGTCTTACTAAGTCTCACTAATTCTAGAGAATTATTTTTTAACACTACAGCCGATAGTCACAGCCTACTATACGGTATAAGAGTGACATTATTTTCGAATCAAGATCTGTTTCAGATCTCGTCTAAACTTAAACACATCCATTGCTTGTTACTTTATACTCCTCTTATGGTTGCTGTCACTCGGTTTTTGTATGCGATTCATTACTTACAAGCAGACCCTCAAAAATGTGTCTGAACTTTATGGTAATACATACATATACGAATAAATCGAACCTATATGTTCCGGTATTCGTTCTTTGAACCCCAAGAATAGATCAACATTATGTATGCGTAGCTGCATGGATATAGGTACATAAATGTTTGACAGAATGTTGAACTTTTAATTAGACATTGTTGACATATTGTCTACAGAGCAGCAATCGAGTAGAGGGAAAAGTTAAAAGAGTTTCTTGCACGGCGCTCTGTCTTGAAATTATTGTTCCCGTTCGTTTGCGCTTCCTGCATGAGTACTCATGCTTCCTTTTTTAGTAGCTCATGTAGATGATAATTATTATTATGTGTGTTCTTTTTGTTGCTGCAATTTGCGACAGCATTTGCCGTCATTTATTTGACTACTGCTCACGGTCGGCTCTTTTTGCGCCGCCTTAACTTCTTAATTGGTACTTGTATATGTATGTGTGTATGTGTGTATGCGTGTGCTTAGCTTATTTTATTGTTGATGTTGTTTTTGGTATTGTTGTTGCTGGAGCTGTAGCTCTGGAGCTGAGGTTATTTTTATATACCTACATATGATGTTTCTGCGAGTATACTTGTTGTTGTTGTTTGGTTGGTTGTTGTTGTTGTGAAACGTTTTGTCAAGAATGAAATACGCTGTTGTGAATGCAAAAAAGTGACGTTCTGCATTTAAAGGCAGAAGGCAAATGGCAAAAATGGCAAAAATGGCAGAAGACAAACAGAAAATAAATAAAAAAAAAATTCTTGCACACTTTTTTGTGCGCACAGCAACAACAACAACAACAAGAACAACAAGAACAACAATACAACCAAAAGCAATGGTTGGGAAATATCAGCAACAACAACAACAGCAACAACAACAGTTGTTAACTTTTTATTTGTGCCAAGTGTAAAAGTAGTTTTGTTTTGCTTGCAATGAATAACTTTATTGTTTTGGTATGCATGAGGAAGTGTATGCATGTGTGTGTGTGTGTGTATGCGAGTACGTGCAAGCCTGTGTAAGTGTTTATTGCTTAACATATACGTGTAGCGTAAGTCACTTGTCACAATTTGGTGCACAAAATGACACGCTGCAAGGTCACGTCACATTAATTTGGTGACAATGATGAATTTTGCAAAGGGTAAATAAATTCAAATAATTCATTCCGCCTCTCTCGCGTGCTTCCCCGCCGATTACCACGGTGCATACATAATTGTCTCTTCGGAGGCGAGCAGTTGACATTTGGAATATGAGGAGAACTTGTTGACTGCAGCAGTCAAGCTAGACAGCAATTAACTGAAACATTTGAAATATATTAACACAATTTTAAATATTTTTACAAAGATTTCGCGTTTATATACTAACTTGAATGCATTTCATTCTTCTTATTTATAGATTTTCGCCGAGCAACCGCTACGCATTCGCAGCATTTCACGCCACAATTTTCCGCTACAAAGTTGCCAGTTGCCATATTCAGAGTTATTAATTAAACTTAATGAAATTTTAGACTGTAATTAAAGAGAAAAAAGAAAGAGCGAATAAATTACGGACAAACGGGAAAGCGTGAAAGCGTGAAAAAATATCAAAGAAATCCAAACTCAAATTGAAAAATGTTTTTTTGCCATTTTCGAGCTATAACCGGAAATAGACATCAGCAGCAACGTCAACAGGAGCACCTTGGCACCGCTGGCAACACTGGCAGCCTCTAGCCGATTTTAGTGCGTGTGAATTACGAGAAGTTCGCATCTAAAGTGTGTGTTTCGCTCAAGAGTGGCAGCAGTTGGAAGCGAAGTATTTCATCATAAAATGTTGGCAATAAAACTTCGACAATTGAATTCATTCAAATTGCAACAGCAACATTTGCTCAGCTGCCGTTTTGCATCAAATTATTTTAAAAGTTATTGCCGCATTAAACGACATCGTCTTAATAACAATAAAACTTTATGTTGGCTGGCATTGACTTTGATTTTATTGAGTGGCGCTTGGAATGAGCCGAACGGATGTCACGCCTTCGACATTGGTAAGTCAGTCAATTGCCTGCTTTTGTGCAATGGGAGGGTCTCTTTATAGAGCAACTATGTTGTTCGTTCATAGTAAGCATTCTACACTTTCAAACATTCAAATACTTTGTTGCTTTTAATTACAATTAGCATTTCAAATTTTATTTATATTATTAGTAAGAAGAAGTGAGGTAAAGTCTATGAAATACAACATGAAGTGCAATAGCTATAAATATTATAGCTTTAGCTATATTAGGTCTTTTCTTTTGTAAGCATATCACAAATTTAAACGACCGCTTATTTTAAAAATTATATATGAAACAACAACACTGCTGGCTTATTTAGTCCAACCTTTTTGAAATCGCTTAACTAATACGCAGCTCAAATCACATGGTTGCCAACACTAAAAATCCGTCTATTCTGAACGATTTCTGGAAGTATAAATGAAAATTTCAGTTAACTGTCAACGAATGATTGCGTTACTTATTCGCATTTCGTGTCGTCATTGTTGGTAACAAATATTTTACTTTTTCTATTTATTATTTTACTGTTAAAAGGCACGAGAAATGATATTTTATTCAAAATCATACAAAACCAAAATGTTCTTACCAATAATTGCAAAGAATTATTATTCACTATAAGCCGAACAAAATTTCCATTTTTTCCAGAGTTGCCATGGACAATACTGCTAATTTCATTTATTCTTTTACGACATACTTACAAAAGAAAAGGCCTATTATAGAATATTAATAACACGTGTATTTAGCCGCCCTGAGAAGCGGAAAAAATAACAAGTCTTTGCTAAACTCCCTGAGTTTACCATCTATAATAAATTTTCTAATCACATATGAAACTGTAAAAAATTATCGACACTGTATATCCCTTATCTATTGTGAAACTTCGTTGAAAATCTTAACGAATATTCCAGGCATCTGTCGAAAGTTGTTTGTGAACAAAATATTTGACCATATATTAAGAACCGAAAGTAAATTTGCTCTTTTCAAAATAAATATTAAAAAAAACTTTTATCTATGGTGCTTTAAGTCAATTTTTAAAAATGTGCTCTAAAAGTTTTTATATGATCGTTTTTTCTTCTTTGCAAGTACTCAATATAACATAAAAGTATTCTTATATCATATATTTTTCATGAAATTACAATACGTCCTATGGCATCATATAATTAAATTGCTTTACGGCTGTCACATAGCCATTAGACACAATACACTACAAGGTGAGATGAAAAAACTGCAACAAAGTAAAACGCCATAATTTTTTCATTTTTTTTAAATTTTATTGAATGAAAGCAAAAAATGTCGGAAATAACATCAAATTTGAGAATCGGTTTAGATTTGTTCGAATTGGCCACCTTTGGCCCGACAAGTGGCTCTGCGGTATTTTGTCCCATTCTCGGCGAAGCGCTTGCTTGAGATGATCGACACTTTGGTATTTTTTAGTTCCAACCTTGCTTTCCAAAATACCCCAGGCACAATAGTCCAACGGATTGGCATCCGGAGATTTTGGTGGCCATTGTGCGGTGGAAATGAAGCGAGGAACCTCATTTCTTAACCATTCTTGGATGGCGCGTGCTGAGTGCGATGGTGCTGAGTCCTGTTGGAATGTCCAAGGTCTGCGGCCGAAATGTTTGCGTGCCCAGGGCTTCAGAACTCCCTCCAAAATATTTTCGCGATAGATTTGCGCATTTAATTTGACACCACGGTCGATGAATACGAGCGGCGAGCGACCATCGGCTGTTATGGCGGCCCACACCATCACCATGGCCGGCTTTTGAGTTGTGATGGCCAACCGAAGTTGCAAATTTTCAGCTGACCTCTCTGGCAAGTAAACACGATCATTTTGTTTGTTTACAAACTGCTGGATAACGAATGGTTTCTCATCGGAGAAAACCAAATTCGGCAGTTCACCACTTTCGGCCAAGCGAAACAACTCTTTAGCTTTTTCGAGTCTAACTTTTTTTTGCGCATCAGTAAGATCTTGCACTTTTTGGAACTTGAATGGCTTTAGTCCAAGCTCATTTTTCAATATTTGCCGAATGGCATATTGCGATATGTTCAGCTCACGAGCCATTTTTCGTCCACTGCGACGCGGATTTCGTTCAATTCGCTTTTTCACTTTTCGAACCATTTCTGCCGATGTTGCTGTTTTTTTTCGTCCACTTCCTTGACGTCGGGCTACGCTACCAGTATCATGGTAACGAGCGATGGTACGAGACACAAAACATTTATTCACTTCTAAATGCTGGAGGGCTCTAACGATAGCCACTTGTGGTTTTCCAGCCAAATGCAAAGCAATCACACTATCACGCTTGAATTCCATCACAAATAACTTTTTTTTTGAAAAATTCCCACCAAAATGCTTTTGTGCGCTTGTAAACAATATAATGAGCTGTCACTAGAATAAATCTGACAGCTGTGGGACGAGCGGTTTAGAAATGACAGCAGTCTGAAGTTGGTTGCAGTTTTTTCATCTCACCTTGTAATTCCTTTGATTGGAACAGATTTTTAGAGTTTTTGCACAGACCAGTACATCATCACAAGTTCTATTACTTACACACAATCAGAAACTGTTCATATTCATATATATGAATATATACACAAAACTCATTTACTATGGTCTTGAATGAAAATTAACCCATCCTCCAAAAGCAATCCAATGCGTTCATATTGTTTCACTACAAAGTATTATTTATTACTTCGTAATTCTATAGTTTTTTGACGCATATAAATCTACAATAATAAGTTAAGCCACTCTGTACGATACCTTTTGTTTCGCAAAAAAGCAATATGTGTGGTTGCCAAAAAAAATATCTGCGATAATAGTGTTTCGGAGAACTAGAGTTATTTAATTTGAATGTCTTCCCATAATCTCGTTGTGAATTATCTTCCATTTTCTGAACCATGTTCTCAACAATTCTTCAGGATGTACCGCTATATAGCGGTATTCAATTCGGTGTGCCTTGGTGATGAAAGTTTAACACTATCATTTTTGATTCAGCGCTCAAAGACTATTTTTCCCAATGCAGAATTGATATTTTTATCGCCAGATAATAGTTAGAAAAATAAACCAGATAACCATTTTTCATCTGCACAGATTGATGCTCCAGTCTTATAGCTTTGAGTTAGACAGTTGACTTCTTGGTAAACGTTACTGGAATCATTCCTGTTTCTATATCCTACTGTCGTGATATTTTTCGCACACGGTTCGAAAAACTCCTGATATATTTCATATTAGTTCAAAATGAAACAAACTTTTCAAAAAATAAACTAGACTCAATAAAGCGTAAGAATTCCATCCAACTACCTATTTGTCCCATTTAAAAAAAAAAATTTCTTAAATCAGTGATTTCTAAGCAAACAAAAGTTCAATACTTATTTGACAAATATAACGTAATACCAAAAAATATTAATATTTTCTTAAAAGATTCTTACACAAATGCGGAGGATACTCAACAGAAAGGCCATACGAAATTTAACCTTTTTGAATTATTATAAAAAGTCAATCACTGTCATTGGAAATAAATTCGATGGCTGTGGTGGTTTATGGTCGCTCTACACTGATGTTTTGAGAACGTGGCGCCAAGATCAATACATGTGGCTGCAAGAGAAAAGGTATTCTGAAACTTTAAGTAACTAAGCATTCCAATATAGAAATTGTGGCAATACGAATCGATAAAGACTGGCACACAATATTACATATATCACCTATCATCTCCACCCGAAGTCCACGGTCACCGCATGTAACTCTGATTAATTTTTAGGTGTTGTTAATCAATAAAGGTATTAATGTACTTAAGAAAAAAATTTTTTTGGCGAATGAATTAAAACTCAATAGAGTTGTATGGATTCATATTCTAGAGCAGAAGAGCAATGTGTTTGTCGACAGATTTATGCCTTAGTTCTCATGAAGCGGTCTTAGATGGCAATATCAAAAATTAAAAAGAATTGATTGTTTTTGGAATTATTAATTATTTATATTAAGAAGACCAAAACGGTATGCCTATATGGGTTGGAAACCTGGCTTGCTAACTCCGAAATCGAAAGAAGACAACAATCATTTATCAATCAATGCCTGCGCAACATATTAGCCATATGGTGGCCTAGAACGAAGAGTTATGGAGAATAACACACCAAACAAACGTAAACAGCGAGATAAGAAGATAGAAGTATGGTTAGATTGAACGTACACTGCGGAAGCCTTATGAAGATATCGTGCATGCTGCACTTACTTGAAACCCCCAGGGGACAAGGCGTAGTCGCAGACCAGCAATGACAAAATGTAGAAAGACAATTCACCAGGAGACGGAAAAATCATTTAACGAGTTGAGAGCAATAGCACAAAATAGACACTAACCTAAAACTTTAGTAGATGCCTTAATTTCCTAATGGAGTATGGAAATAATAATATAATAATTTTAATGAGGATTTTAGAATTTCATTATTTATAGTGGAAAATTTTAGATAATACTTCCCTAAATAAATTACATTACTGTTAAATAGAACGCTAATTAGTTTCAATATAAAATTACTTCTATGTTTATATTTTCACCGGCTTTACCCATAACCACTCAATTTTAAATCAATTAAAGAATTTTATTAGTTAAATGTTTTCCACTTAAAATATTCATTCGTATAATAAATGGCATAAGAAATGATATAATATTGATTCTATTACTATTGCAGGAAATTATTTTTAGGCAAAACTAATTACAATCACGTTAAATTATTAATTAATTAAACATATTTTCGCAGTTGTATTGTTTCGAATATTATTGCCTTTGTGCATTGCGCATTAATCATACAAAATTTATTGAAAATACTTAAAACAATCATAATTCTGCGTTAATTGAAACAAGTAAACTACACAACGTAAATATCAAATTAATCACACACAGCAAAACATACGCCCCCACCCCCGTACAAAGGTGCGTGGCATGCACATTTTCCAAAGCGAAGTCATTATTCATGCACGCAGCGAAATGGGCAATAATTCATGATTTCTACATTCGATGAATGTGCGAATGAAACGCAAGATAAATCTAATTGAGATAAGCGCTCATTAAGATAAAACTGCCATAATTTCTAACATTGAGCGCCTAACAGACAAAACGGCCTTTATTGATGTCGTAATTGCAATAACAATAACAATAAATAATAAGCGAAATAAATGAATATAAATGAACATTTCATTCCCATCCACAAACAAATTACGTGCAGATATATTCATTTGATTTGATTTAATTTGATTTAATTTTTTTATTAATTTTTTATATTTGTAGATTTCAGCAACGGCGTTTTCGCCTTCGCTTTCGCTTTCGCTTCGGCTTCGGTTTCATTTTTATCGCAGCCCATTTCATTTTATTTCAATCACTTTCTTAATTTCCAGCAATTTCATCAATTTCATCAATCTGAACAAAAGAAATTTATTTACACTCCTTTTTTATTATTTATTTCTATACGTATTTCCAGTTTTGTTTCTTTTCCTTTTTTGTTGTTTGTTTTTTGTTCTTTGTTTCTTACTTCTACTTTAGTTCTTTTATTTGCAAAGAAGATAGCATCTGGCGAGGCAACAACAATAATAAGATTTCTGCAAAACAAAGCAACAACAACAACTATTACAAAAGCAAGAGCAAGTACAAATAGAATAAAAAGAACAGAACCACAAAAAAAAAACAATTTTTCTCGTATAACTTAAGAGCTAAAGGGTCATAAACTGTTATTGTTACTCTTGTTCGAAAGTGCGAGTTCAGAGTTCAGAGCTCCGCGTAAGCATCAACAATATTATCATTCCGTGAATAATTAGATGCCATCAGTCAGTATTTAAGCACGATAAGTCAAATCATAAAAGGAGCATGAAAACCAAAATAAAATTTGAACTCACTGAGAAGTACATAGATGTAGGAAAAGACAGGAGTGTCTCTGAATGGCTAAGCTGACTAAGAAGTACGTAGCACAGACTAGGAAAAATAAAAGACAACAGATTCCTATAGATTCCTAAATTGATTTTTGTTTTTCTAGTTTTAAGCAGAAGTTTCATTATTGCAAAAATTGATTGAAAGGCTTTGATTAACTCTCGTTATTCGTACATAATTCACTCTAAATTCTGATTGCAGCAACTCTAAAAGAAAAAAGTGCCGTGTGAATGCATACTTAAAGATATACATAAATAGTTCGCCGCGCGGCAAGATTTGAAACACAATGTTGCTTCTCGTAGCATATAATATTTATTTTGCTCTTCGCAAGTGATGTTTAAAATAAACGAACATCACACGGGAAATTTATTCCTGCATGAACGATCATCTCTTGCAAACTCCATTAAAATGGTTACTTAAATAATTATAGTTATTCTAGTTACTATAGTATAATATAGTATTAGTTATATAATAACTAATTATACTTATTATTTATATATATAATTTATTAATTTTTACAAGTATATATATGTATTACACAAAAGTAATAGAAAACAAATCGTATATTTGGATAATTTTAGGTATTTTTTTAAGTAACAAATACTCGCACTAAGTCCGTGTGCGAGTTCGAGTAAATTGTAGTAAATTGAAATTTCCTAGGGATTTTTTAAATTATGTAAATATTTATTTATTTATTTATAGCACTTATATATCTTTGGTTGAAAGTTTGAATATATATTTATTTTTTTAGTAAACATTTTTTAAAATTTTTACAATGGTAGCACCTAATTTACCAAATTTTTATCTAATTTAACCTACTTGAAATTCTGGTAAATATTAACATTCGCTGCCATACCGATGGCCTCAATACACTAATATGTAGATATTTTGAATTTCATTAAAACTTTTCTGTCGAACACCGTCAGTGTTTCATCATTTTGTAATAGCGTTCATGCTTTTACACCATACCGAAGGACAGAAAGGATCACCGGCCTATAGAGCATAAGTTTTGTCAATCAAGAGAGAGCTCTACATGCGAGTTTTTTTTTGGTCTATAATTGCACTCATTAAATATGATTAATCCTCTTCGGATTTCTGAGCTAACAAAGTTGTTGTTAGTTACTGTGGTGTCGGGATAAATAAAGCTCTTGATATATAATTCTACTGGCCCAATTCTGCCAGTAGCAGAGACATACTTCAGTTTGTTCAAACTCATCGCTAAATTTAATTTCACAGTAAGGTCAACACTTATATCAGACCTGCCAGGCCTAATTTTTTTTTTAAACACTACTTATACATTTACATATTGTATCTTCTCTTACAATGAGACTAACAATAAGTTTAAAATCTTATCTCACTAATTACAATATTACTAATTTTAACTTTAACTGTACCTTGTATAAAATAAAATAAAATAAAATAAGTAAAGCTTATATCACGGACCTCTCTTAAATCAATGGGTTAAATTTTATTGAAGTGAATGTTAAGTGGGTTATTAAGAAAGCAGTTAAACTTTAACAGATTACTAAAGAGGTTTTTTACTAAAGGTTTTTACTTCAAGCTTTTGAATTTTAATTAATGGCTGAACGGCCAGCTCTTTTTAGGCGAAAAGTGATGGATAGAAGTGTGAAATTCCTTGCTACGGGGTTAACATGTTCTTTCAGACTTTTATTGTATTATTTGCTTATATTGTCAAATTCTGTTGTAGATCTCAGTGGATACTTTCATTCCTAATATACTATTGGCCACAAGTGATTGTTCTTAGTATTTTGGACTGAGCTCTTTGGATAATTTCAATATTTGAGATACTAGCATTACCAAATAACTAGATATCATAAGTCCATATTGGCTTTAGGATACTGTTATACAAGAAGCACAGGGAGAATTGAGTTTGTACTCAAGGCACAGGGAGAATCTGTTATTAATGAACCAGTGTAACTTAGAGGATTGAAGCTTTATTGGAATTTGAATTTATTTGAATTGAACATTTCGTTGTGGAACGCCAGCTTCTATTGGAAAATTAGTAGAAGTAAGTGATTTACATTTGAGTTTTTGAAACTTCTGTTCCGTAGATACGATTCTTCTATATGAGCTCATTATGCCATATTTTGTTAAATGCTTTTTTGACATCGACAAATACAGCGGAACAATATTCTCTGAGGTCAAATGCGTGTCTTATTTCGTTCGTTATATGATTTACTTGCTCAATACTTCCATGTTTTTCTCTAAAGCCAAACTGGTGGGAGAGATTTTATTTATCTTAACTTAAACTACACACTATTTTAAATTGAGAAGATAAAAGAAGGTGTTTCGTATTCATTTGGGAAGAGTAGAAGTTCGGTGTTTCTTTAATGAATCACTAATGTACAGTTTCAACCCCATTAAAACAAGATGTTCCAAAAGAGATTTATCTTTTAAGCGATAGTGCCTAAGAACCGATTGGATTGTGTTTGCTACATTGTAAACATAAGCTGCCACCTTGCAGCATGATACTTCTAATTCTAAGAGAAAGTCATTGATGACGAGATTTCATAATAAACATGCCAAATTCCGGGGTAGTGATTTCGTCACTACCCAAAGTTGACGTGATTGTTCTATTATATAGAAGCTGCCTAATAAATTTAATTATGTCCACGTTAGTTTCAAGGTTGCCATAATTTTTTTTTCCAAAATATACAGTATAAATATCGCTGTATAATATGATATAAGATTTTAATCGTGTAATGTGCTGTTTATGTAGATAAATAAAAATATAGATAGATAAAAGTTGTAATTAAAAATTAAAATTGTTTCTGTTTGTTAAAGTTAATTAATAATAATAAAGTTAATGAAATTTAGAACTAGATCCAATCGGAAGATTACATTATTCTTTCAATTTAGTGTGGTTCAATGGGAAGTTCATTTTATTTTCGCCTCACAGTAAAATATAGTAATATTGCTTAATATCTTGTCGATTATTTTAACGATACCCTTCAAAATAATATTATATCATTTTTAAAATGAAGTCCTACTTTTCGCAAATGCACAGCCGTTTCATCTATTTTTTGATAGCATTTCGCTCCATTTTAAGAACCACATTATGGCGACATAAGCAATTCAACATTAATTGGTTTCTAAAACACTTGTGCCATATATGCACATAATCGAAATCTCTATGGACTTTAGCATTTCTGGAAAAGAACATATTAAATTTTCATCATTAATTATGAAATCATTTCCGATGTGAACTCCCTATTAGAACTTCAAGTCAAGATAAATTCTTCATGTATATTTGGTATGTACTGCATGATATTGATATTTCTGTAGATTTTTTCTTCCAATATAGAATCTGCGAACTTTGTAAATTTTGTAAAATTTGATCTTTCTTGAGGACGTGACATGTTGTTACCATGAATCCTATATACATGTAGAGTAAAAGGTAAAACTTCATCAGTTATAGTTGAGTTATTCGAGACAAAATTGTACTCAGTTCAGCTTTCGTGTCATTCAGGTAGCCTACGATTAACGTCAATTTGGTGTTCGTTGCCTTTAAGTTTGGGTACTAAAATTATCGTTACTTAGCCTATATAATTAGATATCATTTATCTCTTTAAAATACCTCGCATTAGTTGCGAAAGAGGACATTTCAGAAGCAGCAGAAATCGTTGTATCCATGGATTCAGATGGAAGATTTTGAAAAGCTGCGTGCTCTGCAAAAAAGGGAGAATTGGTACTTTGTGGAGACAACGAAACTTGTGGCACTGCAGTGTTGAAGAGATTGAATCTTGTGTTCATTTGTGATAGTGTTGCACTTTCGACTACTGTTAAGATTATTAAATTAGTAAAATATAATTTGAGTTAAAATGAATTTCAAGAGCATACTAATATCATCGCTTCTCTTACCATTTTGCCCAACACGTTCATACTCCAATACGCGAATTTTATTTGTGACTAATACATCTCTTTGAGTGACTTTAAAAATATCATTTCCTTTTATTTCAAAAACTTAAAAATTAAAAAAAAAATTAATGAATTTCTATATTATTGGTGTGTGTAATCAGTAATTGTTAAGATATCGTTAGTCATCAGCACACACCAGTACAAAGTAGTCCCTGGAAAGCAATGCAAATCAGTCGTCAGTAATAGTAGTGGCAGATTTGCATAATGCAATTGCTTTCCTACTTTTTTTAAAAATTATTATCACTAACTAAAAATGTGAAACCGAACGGGAAACTTATCAAAACTACAATATGAATATAGTCTACATTATATAGTCTATATTACTTACACTCAACCGGTGGTGCACATTCCTGTTTTTGCTCCATCCACTCCACTTTATTGTTTTGGGTAGCCATTTTGATGTTGTACTTCCTAAAAGAGTCTGGCGTAATGACTTTTAGAAGTTTTGAGACCTTTCAAAAATAAATCTTAAGTTGAAAACATTTCTAAAATTTTGCAGTTGCGTAAAGCCTAAAATTATTTTGATTCTAAATACAAATTTTGGTACTTATTTTCATATCGACAATTAAAAAATGTATACACAAAATAGTTTTTTCTGTTTTTCAAAACCTACTTAAATTAATACTTGGATGTCCATGTTTGAGTTTTACTGCTTTTTGAAGCAGAAAATTCATTTTATACAACACTTTCGCACATTCATTCCTTTAAAACTCGGACACCTTTTTGACCTCATGATCTACGATTTGGCTGAAATTTTTTTTATGAGCTCCTTTCATAAAATAAGAAGACCCAAATCTCGCGAAAAAATTTTGTGATTTTTTTCCTAGGAGATATGGACCCATGAAGTGATATCAATAAACCGTACATTGAAGTACCTCCCCACCAGATAGAGAGGAAACCGAATAATACACACGCAGACATATTCTGGCTTTCCCTTATTACCTGAAAAAATCGCTGTTGAATTGAAAATATTTTGGCAGACTTATCCAATTTTGGAACAAATCTATATCTTTTAGAAAAACCGATTCAATAAAAAATCACAAAACAAAAGTGAAAATAATACCTTTTACAAAGTGTTTTGAAAGGGTGGCAACATTATAGCGGAAGACGATGAAGGCTCATTTACAAAACCTGATTACTTAATTATATACAGCCAAACTAAATTGTTATAATCAGTGACTAGCTTTTGTTATTGGTGTTGTTGTTGTTGATAATTTTATTGTTGCTCACAGTTTTCTTCTTCTTACACTTTCGCATTTGTTGCCACTGTTTTTGTTCATGTTCGTTATGTTTCTAAATGTATCACTGCCTTGGTGCTGTTCCTGTCTATTAAACCAGTGTTTCTCAACTCGAAGTGTTCCGCAGAGCAGTTCTAACATTCCTACAAAAAAAAAATATATAAATCGAATAAAATCAAACTATAATAGAACCGGCGATTGGAAAACATTCTTTTAAATTACACTTGGAATAATTTTGACATGAAAAGAACAACATTAATAACAACTACAACAACAAACTTTTGAAGCTCTGGCATATTTTCATTATGGAAATTAATTGTAATTAATTGCAAGCAATTAATTAGGTTTAAATTACAACAAAATCATTCAGTGAAAATCAAAATGAGTTTGGAAAATGGTAGATGTGTTCTGGATTTTTTAGTATTTGTACGTTCTCTTAGGAAAACTAAGTGGAGTCCATATCGAATAAGTGAGAAGTGCTATATGCCACAATTTAGGTGATCTGTTGTGAACAATTGGGGCATTGACAGTTGCATTGAGCAAGAAAGGGTTTTGAGCTTCCAATCTCCCTAAAACACTTCGAATCATTTTGCATTAAAGACAAATGAGTTTTTTCAGTTAAATATTTTCACTTAAACTCAAAATTAGTTTTCAAGTCACCACAGTACTCATAGGGCTTTGTGTACGTTCCTGCGCGATGAGTCAGTCCCGAGATGAGTAGCACTCTGCTACTCATAATATATTTTCAGATATTTCAAAATACGTTTAACAGAAGCAGCAGATACTAGCCTTTAAACGGTACTCCTTTTTTAAATTGGTGCCTCAGCTTGCATTGTTGTCTGAACAACCCGGTTAAAAATTTAGTGACCTTTTTACTTTACGTATTTAGGCTGTTTTTATAACACTTTTGGTTTGATTACTAATATTGTTGGAATATTAAATGATACACAATATTTTAAGTATATTTTTGGATTAATATATTTCTATTTTTGGGTGCTTTTAATTTGGACCCTAAACCAGATTTCCGTATGCGGTAGCGCTCTTTTATAGTTCATAAATTTGACTAATAGATTCTAGTTTTTAGGCGATATTGACGCAAAAGGCGGCCATGAAATGCTGAAAAACTAAATAACAATTAATGAGATATATGTTTTTTTACCGCAAGTAGGCCATTCTTTTACAATACTTTACTTTTGGCAGATACAACGAATAATAGTCAGAGAACAGCTGTAACGTGATCTCGCCAATGTTTCATGTCGCTCGGACTAAGATTTTCTTTATTGTCATTTCAATGAATTACAACAAAAACTGCATACAAATGGTTGTTGTTGGTGTTGTAGTTAGTTTTTCTGACTGCAGTTTCAGTGGCAGTTGCAGTTGCAGTTGCAGTGGCTACAGACCACAGACTGCGGACACATTTTTTATATAAATTCGTTTAACTTGATACTGATAACATGTGCACTCGACTGCAGTAAAACGATTAAATTTTGTTGTTGTTATTGCAATTTTTATTGTTGTTGTTTTCTTGCTCCACGATATGTCGTAGATGAGAATAAATGATGCAGTGTGGTGACATGCATTTAAAATATTTTCAGCGATAAATTTACTTAATTTATGACGTAGGAGTATTTATTTTACATACGTTTAAGTATTTCTGCACTTTTAAATGAAAAAATTAAGAGAAGAAGAATATAAAAATATGGTATTTTAAAACAGAAGGGAAAATATCAGTGCATGAGAAAATAAATGCACTTCTGAATTTACTTACTTATTTCCGCAAATATATTCGCCTGAAGATACTTGTTCTTCTTTTGAGCTCTGATTAAAACCCAACTGAGGTTCTGGAAACTCTTCTTCTTCTTCATCCTAAATATCCTAAATATACACATACTTATACCATGTTCCCATTAATTTCTCGATACATTATAATTAGTTGTGGTGGATGGAGGAATGAATTCTCCTCAATTAGCATAGAAAGCCTTTTTGAATCCACAAATCCTCGTAATAGTGGATAGTAGAGAGAAAGTTAAGGTAAAATCAGCCAGAGACATTAATAAAGGCAAGAATCTGGCCAATGTTAATGCTAGAGATATCGTCCAGCTCTGGCCAAGCCTGGACATACACACATCAGATGTTCTGGTCAATCGATTTGCACCTAGGTTTTTGTAGGAAACCTTTAATTTAAGCAGTGTTTATTTATCTGTGAATTCATATAATATTTTTGCTGTTTTAATCAAATTTTATTATTCGGTATTCAATAACGCAATATTCTAGTTTGATATGGATCAGATAATATTGATGTATATTTATCTTAACTGACAATAAAAATACTTAAGCAGTAGCAACATAAATCAATATTTGAGTCACACCAACCATTCAGTCTCTAAAAGTGATAAACGACTAAAAAGGCTATCTGTCTGTCCATGTACATGCTATGTTGTTATGGTTTCTCAGCTGGTTTCTTTTTTTTGGCATTACGAGCTCGGGGCCATTATCGCAACTGCAACTGCAGTTTTGCAGCTTCTTAAACTTAAGATAATGTTCATTGCATACAATATACTAAATTTATTGTGGATCGGTTGTGCTGCTTTTGTTTGAATGCTTCAAGCCTTAATCGCCAACAATCTCTATCGTCTATCATACCAAATTGAAATTTGTCTGCACACTTTGTTTCTTGACTTAGATCCGTTGCCTGAATTTTGCTGATTGAGTGGCAGATTTGCTTAGTAAATATTTATACATCCAATACAATCATTTGCCAGGTAAAGTCAAACAGCCTTTCTGCTAAAATTAAACTAAATATTTTATCAGATTGTCGCAGATTAGCGATATCTTCTACTGGCGTGAGATTTTGAGGAAAAGTGGGAATTTCATCAGCACTTGTGATTTATATATATAAAGTGATTCAGATAGATTTCAAGTAGCCACAGCAGATCCAATGTAAACATGGCTGCTGAGTTGTGCAATTGTAAAAACATTAAAATGGATTAAATTGTAATAAGTCCAGAATTCTAAATTTACAAAGTTTAACAGTTTAATTAGCTCCATTTTTTTCTTGTCTCTATTAGTCAGTATCTTTAATATCAGAATCAGAATAGTATCAGAATAGGGATCAGAGTCATTCATTATTTGAAATGATCTTAGCAGTTGTCGAATCACCTTAAGATAGATGAGAACTGTTATTATAATTGAATTGTTCTGATTGATTTAATTTACCAGGTGATTATGACGGTCATATTGATATCAACTGCCTATACTAAGATACATCTTATCACCATTCAAGAGTAACTTGCATCTAAATAGAAACTCATTTATATAAATGTGTTCTGTATATAATATAAGAAACAACCCATCTATCTCAACGCAAACATTATATTATCTTAGGGTGTACCTGAAAGTACACCCTAATGTATATAAATTGTGAACAAAAAAAATGCGTTAAACAAGTGAACTGAACTGTAAGGCCTAATAGTCTTATAGTTTTATCACTTTAATCCATCATTGTTATTAGCTTCTGCTACCTACAACTTAAGTAAGTGAGAGCACTACACAATTTCTAATTTCAGCATAAGAATCATTCAAATAGACGTATTCAAAAATGCTTTTGTCAGGTGTAAAACAACTGTTCCTCTTTTTAATCATTCAAGAGATATAAAATCAAAATGGTTTTACCTAGTTATTTCAGGTGGTCCGACATATTTACACTATATCCAACTACTGTTAGTGATGTACTTTAACATCCTCTTAGCCAAAGTATATGTAGTGAGAAAATTACAGAGCTGCCCTCTATCAATAGAGTGACAGAGTCAACAGCTGCATTCTACATAAATGTTTAAAATCCAGCGAAAGTACTGAGCAGAATATTTGATATGTGGCTTTCGATCATCTACAAGTGAATCGAGTTCAACTACCCATGGCCACTGTCAAAAATCTGCGTATTCACATGCATGTTACAAATAAAACTGGATATTCAGAGTAGCAGGAACATTTTTAACCCAATTAACAAAAAAAAAAGATCCGACCTTGAAAAAGATCCGACGAGCTGCTGCCATTTTCCAGAAACAAAACTGGATATCCAGAGTATCAGTAACATTTTTAATCCAAACATATTCAGAACATGACCTTGTGCTAATCAGTTTTATTTTATATTTAGTACTAAAATTTCGCCCGTCTGCAGCTGCACATCAAACATTCTACAAATCGACAAAATTTATTTAATTCTAGATATATCTTTGAATAATTTATAAAGCAATTTTATGGCTACTTTCCCGTCTTTCAACTACAACGTT